CACACACACACACACACACACACACACATAACACTCAAACATGCTTTTCCTAAAGTCAGCTGTCACTGAAAAGAGAGAAGAGGCATATGATCTAAGGAAGGAGTACTGGTATAGATGATTGTAGAGACTAGTGATGGCAATGCAGTGAATTTTATTAAAAGTTTAATATTCTTGTAGTAATACTGAAAAATATTTAATAAATATTCATTGAGAATATCAATCTGAAATAAACATCAGAAAACATGTACACATATGAGACACAAATAAAAGCATATGAACAAAGGTGAAATTGTTGAAATAATTCATATACTATTTTTTCTTAATGGAATCCTCAGTCTATTGATAAATTATCATGGCATTTTTAGATACCAGAAGCAATTTGTGCATGTTCAGAAGTGGGTTTAAAAGTAACATTTCAAAATTTGTATGTAAAAACACATAAATATTAGAATATAGATTCTATAATTCATGTATTTAATCATTGCAGTTATTGAATATGACATGGTTTACTAGAAAATGCTAGCAACATACTTCAATTATCAATACAGATTCAAATTGATATATTTGCATCCAGAATGGGAGGCTTTCATGCTGATGTATTAGATGTAGACCTACATACTAAATATACCATCACTATTAGTTTCATGGGCTTTTTATTATTTTAAGAAGTGGAAACCGTGTCAGTAGTAAATTAGTATTTTATCGTCTTGTTCACCTTTAGTTTGTCTGATAGTACTACAAAATACATTAAAGACGGTGTGAGAAATACGTCAGCAGCTATGATTGAGTTCTCCAAGATTACTGCAGGATTTGTCTAAACTGTTGGAAGTGAGATCACTTTCCTTGTTGGGTCTTATTTCATGCTCAGTTTGAATGCACATTCCTACAATCAGACCAGGAATGCATATAATAGTGTTAGCAATGCTGTGCAGTGGTGGCTCATGTATTTAATCCCAGCACTCAGGAGGCAGAGGCACTTGGCCACACAGACTCATAATCAGGAATCTCCAGACAGGAATGGAGGCTTCCAGGTATATTGGTAGATCGAGGCTAAAGCAGACACAAGGTCGCACAGACAACCTGTCATATTAGCCAATTTTGTCTGTTGTTAATAGGAGGCAAAACATAGGAAAAATTACGTTTTATCCTCTGTTCCCATTTCAATTTCTCTGCTTCGTTTTACAACACTCAGGAAGGAGGAAGACACAGATGAATCATCAGCTCTGGATGAGATCATCTGGTAAAATTCAGTCCTGTGCTGGTTTAGAATCCTTGGTTTGAGAGCTCTCTCCTTATTGGTTGAGAGATGGCATAAAAATGTCCGCACTGCAGGGTTTTACCAGTCGGGCTTCTGACTAAAGTCCGGTCGACTTTAGTCAGAAGCCCGATTGTAAACAACCACAGAGAAAAAAAAAAATCCGTTCCGAGTCCGAGAGACATACAGGAGACAGAAGCAATAGAAACCTAGGGAAAAACGGAATTTGTGTGATTTCCCACGTTCCTGCTAAGAAGCACCTGTTTCTGCTTGCAGTGCAGGAAATGTGCTCGAGTCTCTGAAGCCAGTGCTTCAGCCTTAATATCTGTGATTTCTGAGTTAGTGTTGAATTCTGCATTTTCTGTAATCAAAATTTACTTTCGTGGTCAATACCTGACAACACCCGGGATGTACTAATCTTACGTGTCATTGGATGCCCGAGTAAGATAATTGCAATATCGGGAGACATCTCAGGTACCGGGAATCTCAAAATTTCAAGTGGTCGATTTCATAATCAGTCTCTTTAGGGACTCTGACAAGGCATTTCTGAATGTGATACCAGTAAGCTGCAATCGGCAGCACAGAATCACAACCAGCCATCAGCAAACAGAAATGGAAAATTTCAGGTAGATAGGCCGGATACAGACACAAAGAGTGGGATGTATAATCATCTTTTAGTTACCTGCGATGTTTTCCATTTTTGAGAATTGGATTCTGGTCCTAGACAGACTACACTTTTCCCTGTCATCCACTTTCACTTTTATTTTTTTTTTCAGCTGGACCACACAGATAGATAGGAGGGAGAAATGAGTCTGCAGCTCTGATGGAAATCTCCAAGGTTACCACGGGATTTGTTCCTATTGGTGGACTTGAGATCACTCTTCTCATTATTCCGGAAACAATTTGAATGCCCACACTCCTTCAGTCACAGACAAGGTGAGCTAATTATATTTCAAGCATAGCAAGTCCTTACTAGTGAGGCTATTGCTATGACAGCTCTCAGCTGCTCAGATTTTTGCCAGAAATCAAAATGTACATTGACACAGACATGACAGAATGCTATTGACTTTTATATGAGACTATGCCAAGGGAAATTAACAAAGTCAGGTACTGGTTGATTCCTAGTATTATAGTTCTGAGTCACCTGCAATGGTCTCCTGTGCAGCAATTCAATTCCTGCTTTAGAAACCTCTGCTACTCTTTAAACTTTTGGACCCACAGCCTCAGTCTGAAACACTGCAAAATCTGCACGGAAGTAATTCACTTCAGGTTTTAGCATCTTGCAGAGTAAAGGGGATTCATGATCTTTACTCTTTTGTCTGAGATCTTCTGAGGGAATGGATATAACATTGTAGGTTTCATTTTCATGAAAACTTAGACTCATTGAAAAGATTACACATTGAAAAGTTACACATGAAGTCCCAGCCCTACCTGGCACCAAAACTCTCATGGTACAATACGTTATAGAAGAGAAAATGCTTCTTACTATTCTGTTGTCTTTTAGGTTCTCCCAGGCTCAACTTTGCTGTTTTGGTTGGCTTAGTTGTGTACTGGCATATCAATCTTGTACATGGTTTTTCTCATTTGTATTCCTTTTTTATTTAGAAAATCAGACACCTTGAGCCTTCTTGGAAATCAACTATTTATTGATCATGACAGCAAGGTATAACATACTACCCTTTAAAATAATTAACATATCAGATTTATTTGTTACTGTGTGTCTTGGTTATTTGTGCATTGACAAGTGTGTGTCTTATCTTCTATCTTCCATCTCAGACTCTGAATTCCTATGCCTGCTAGTAATATTGAAACTAGAAAACACTAGTACTTTGGAATCAACAACCTCTATTTGAATCTGTTGCAATATTTTTGCCACCTATTCAATATAAATGGCCTTCAAGTAGGTTTTATAGACATGAAACATCATACCATAGTACAATAAAGTCTCTTATTTTCTATTTAAAATTCTTCTCTTCATATAGTTCTGTTTTTTTTCCCAGTAGTGCCAATTGAACATCTCTGATGTGAGTCAAGAGATTTTCATGTATATGAGGATATCAATATTTCATTTGGATTCAGGATTTTTTCTATTTGATTCTGGAAGCACAAAAGCAATTATTTTCATGTAAGTCTGTCATCATTTTATTTTTTGATTCCTAGCCATAAAGGCAGTGTGTGTTATGCTTTCCATAACATAGTCTTAATAACAATATTTACTAGAAATTTCCCTTTATTTTTATCACCATACAAAAAATATGTCTGAACAATTCTCACTTTTTTTTGGTCATGGAGCAAATAAGAGTGAAGATTTTGTCATGATCACTTAAGGATTAATCTGCAATTGTAGCACAAGTAGTCAATCCCATTAAAACTCTAAATATTAGCTGATGCATTCCCATTCTATGATGATGAAAGTATGTAGGAACATTCAAAAGAGGTTCTTTCCACCATATTGGCAGTTCTAAGCATATTTTCGATATGGATTGTTAATCTCAAGGTTTTCACTTAAAGACAAGGCTTTGGACATCAAACAAATGAAATAATACACTACTTAAACCTGAGTGAGAAAAAGCTGATATCCCTTCATAGTATAAAGAGTTCAGTTTTACAATAAGTCTCCAAATATATTATGAAGCATCTCAATTACATTCAAATATTCATATAAGTATACATATGTGTACATGTATGAGATTGAATAGGCATAATTATATTTATACACACTTATGCATGCATGTATATACTTTCATAATGTAGTTTAGAATTTTACACATGAGTATTGTATTTGTGTTATTTCACACTCATTTATGCTCCCTCCTTTAAAATAATATCTATACTAAAAATGTCAAATAAATCATCTACATAATAAAATTGTTACAGTTTTGTATAGATACAACTGTATTCATTCATAATTCCACAATCTATACACACTGTTTTGATTTTTACATAACCAATTTTGCATTGACCTTTTCTAAAACAAGATCCTATCTATGTTACTCTATAGCAGAAAATTATCCTCTCTATCTTAACCTCCAAATTATTCAGTTGTTTTTCTGCTAATTGTGTTAATTTTCATGAATTTTCCATTTTGGTTAACATTTCAAATGAGATTGTATTGTGGTAATAATAAAATTATTAATTTTAATTGGTTCTCCCAATTTCTCAAATTTTGCTTTTTATTACCCTATTTTATTAAAAGACAGTGTCGGTCCAGCAGATATCCTATTTCTTGGTACAATAAATTCTGTCTGGACATTGCATGAAATATTTTCTAAGCCAAGAATAGTGGAGATCTTTTAGATTTATCAGCTGGTCTCTGACCAAACATTGTTATATGATATTTGAGTTGCTGAATACTGTAGCAACGTTGTAAAACCATGTTTTATGTTTCCCTGGAAGTAAGAGCTATTGTTTCCTGTATGTTTAGAGTTAATATTTAGGACACAGTTAGAAATTATGTTTGTGCAATTAAAGTTTCTGTTTATGTAACTACTACCTCCTTAACATTTTGGATTAGGCTAGAATATTGAATTTTGCAAAGATTTCTTCCTGTCAGTGATATCTGCATTAGCAAAATATGATAGAATAAAAATTAAGACATTTCTATTGGTGCTAACCCAGTAATACCCTCTGAATAGCTAAATGTTGGTAAATTAAGACATTTTAATTACATGGAGAAATTGTGTGTTTTACCTTGAAATGTTGTATTCCTGTTAGTTTTGATTTTGATGTTAACATATAAGATAAGATAAAGTAGAAATTATAGCTATTCTAATGGTTTAAGAGACTGGCTATCAGATCCTAATTTTATAATAATTATTAAAAGACTTTATTTTGAAGAGTATAACCTATTTTTATTTAATTCTGAGTCATTAATATAGGAGATTCCTGAATGTTGCTCTTAGTTCATGTATGTGTGGATTACATCAAATGTGTAAAAACAATGTTGATCGGACTGTTTAATTTCAGGAGGCAGACAACAAATGTTGAAAAGTATGTAAATGCAAAAAATAGAAACAGAGGAGAGAATCTAGTAGAATAGTTAGTAACATAAAAGAAGCACATGTTCTGTGATCTAAGTGCTACACAATACTGTATCGTTCACACTCTGGGATAGAGACTGGAGACTGAAATACACATATACACACAGAGACAAATACACTGGACATCCTTAAAATAAGAACACAGAGAATGCTAACTTGCATCAACTACGTCAACTTTATTGTGTTCCAGGGCATCTTATATAGTGCCTTCCCTTACCAATATCAGGTACATATCCAGAATAAAACACTCCCCTACCATCAGGAATCCCTGAGGATCTTGTGTCAGAGCAGCTGTAAACACAGGAACCCAAGTTGCCTTGCTCAGAGCAGCTGCAAACACAGGAAAACCAAGCTGTTTACAGGAAATTCAGGGTTTGGGCTCCACAGACCCCAACATGTGTCTACACTAAAGAATATTCTTTATGTTATTTTCTGCTTTTTATTATATAAAATGCTCAGACTCATAGAGGGTTCTTTCCATGAATTGATAATTTGATATATTAAAAACTAATCTAGTATATATGTATGAAAAATCCTGGTATTCTAATATTATCATGCAGCTCCAGGACATGAAGCATATGAAGTGAGTGCAGGAGCTCTGAGATTTACTGGCCTGTTTTAATACCACAAGTGGCAAATTCCTAGGTTGTGACATGATATTATACTAATGTACATAACTAGTGTTTGATGGATATATCTATATACACACATATATACACATATATGTAAATGTGTTCTTTAATTTCCATGATGTAATATTGCATATAAAATTGTTCCATAACAAAATCCAGACAATGTTCTACTGTATTTTGAGGAACCATTATAAATTCCATCTATTATCAGTATTTTCAATATTATTTAATAAGATGATAAAACAAGAAATATAGATTTTCTCAGATTTACTAGCTTTGTAATGATATCCATGTTCTCTTAATATACCCATATCCAAACACACACACACACACACACACACCACATTCAAATATGCTTTCCCTGAATTCAGATGTCACTGAAAACATAGAAGAGGTATATATGTCCTAAGGAAAGAGCACTGGTATAAGTGATTGAAGAGACTAGTGATGGCAATGCAGTGAATTTTATCAAAATTTCAATAATCATGTTGTTATTCTGAAAAAATATTTAATAAGTATTCATTAAGAATATCAATCTGAAATAAATATTAGAATACACGTACACATTTGAAACACTAATAAAAGCATATATACAAAGGTGAAATTGTTGAAATAATACATATACTCTAATATTTTTCCTAAATGAAAACATCAATCTATTGATAAATTATCATGGCATTTTTAGATACCAGAAGCAATTTGTGCATGCTCAGAACTGGATTTAAGAATAACATTTCAGAATTTTACATGTAAACACACACACACACACACACATATATATATATATATTAGAATGTATATTCTATAATTTGTGTATTTAATCATTGCATTTATCGAATCTGATATGGTCTACTAAAAAATGCTAGCAACATACTCCAATGCATAGCCCAGAACCACGGTGAGATATTTGCATCCAGAATGGGAGGCTTTCATGCTGATGTATTAGATGTAGACCCAAATTGTAAATATATCATCACTAATACTTATCATGGACTTTTATTTTCTTATAGCAAGTGGAAACAGTGTCAGTAGTAAATTAATATTTTATCCTCTTGTTCACCTTTACTATGGCTGATAGTACTACAATATACATGTAAGATGGAGTTAGAGATAAATCAGCAACTGTGATTGAGCTCTCCCAGATTACCACAAGATTTGCCTAAACTGTTGGAAGTGAGATCACTTTTCTTGTTGGGTCTTATTTCATGCTCAGTTTGAATGCACATTCCTACAATCAGAGACCAGGAATGTGTATAATAGTGTGAGCATTGCTAGGCAGTGGTGGCTCACGCCTTTAATCCCAGCACTGGGGAGGCAGAGGCGGGTGGATCTCTGGTAGTTCCAAACCAGTCTGGTTTACAAGAGCTCATTCGATGACAGGCACCAAAACTACCTTGTCTCAAAAAAAAAAAAAAAAAAATCTTAGCAATGCTGGTTCTTACAAGCCAAGCTCTGTCTATATCCAGGTCTCAGCTGGACCTAGGAAGAACCAATACTGACTGTTTATCTACACCTTACATATACAGGAGTCAGAGTCTATGGAAATTAGTAAAACCAGAACGTACATTCACAATAATTACTCCTACTGTTTTGAAAATTTTGGCTAGTGTCTTCTATTATCTACCCTTTCTCGGTGCTTACAAAGTTTTGTGCCAAAATCACATTCTATGTAAAATTTTATAACAAATATAAAAATAACTTTTCAGTCCTTGAATTATTTTCTCAGCATATCTAACATGATTGCATTTTTTTATTATTAGTGGTGATTAACTACTACCTACATTTGTTAGTTTTCCCAAACAGTTTGTAATAGTAGCTTTCATGGTGTAGCATTTTGTGTTATATTTTTCAAGGAATGCGTGAAAAAATAATCCAAACCAGTATGGAAATCTACATACAGTATTTTTCATTAAAAACCTTGAACTTATATCACTACACAATAATTTATAGCAATATAAAAAATTTCTGATGAGTATGTCTGATAGTATAAATGAAGACTATGTAATCTAACCTTTTATCCTGTCATTCCTATATCACCAACCCCAGCATGGATGCTGTTGAAATAGAGAATCTGGACAATATTCACAGTAGTCACTGATATAGAAATATTGAAATTCTTTAGGTACAGCAGTAGTAATCAGTCAATGTTGGACCACTACACATCAGCCACTGGACATGTGTGGGAAGAATCACTGATATGTGGACTGTTTGTGTAAGAGAAGGAGGTGTGAACAGAAATATTTGGAATGCCTGGGCCACTTGGGATTATAGTATAAAATAAGCAGAGATTTGAGAAAAACCCAGACACTTTCTGGATCTTTAGAATGGCATGGAGAAATGGATCTTTAGAATGGCATTGTTTTGCTGAGATTTCTTTGAATGGTATATTTATACAATTGTGACGCTTTTAGAAGATCTAATTGATGAATTATGATGTGAAAACAGTCTATACCATGGACATGCAATGTTGAAGAGAGAAGAGAGAGCACAAAAAAGAAAGTGATGAAACTTAGTTACTAGGAAGCAATGGTGGCAATATTTGAGTGGAGCCTCAGTAATTGCAAATAAATTTTTGAAAGAAAGACAGCTTTTGTGTTGATGCTTTTGTAACAGGATTTAAAGACTTCTAGGAAGTTCAAAGAATGAATACATCATAAAGCATTCTAGGGAAAGACAAGCTTATGCCTTGTGTGAGCAAATATCCATTACAACTTTTCAGTGTGCTGCCCATTTTAACATGAACAGCCTAAAATTTCTTATTACATTATTTGAAACAACCAAGAGACAAAAACTAAAGTTTTATACAAGTAGGACCTATGTAGAAAACAGGTAGATTTCAAGAACGTGAGACCTAAAGTCACCATGAGTTCTGATTGAGTATCTTAAAGCTAGAGAGACTAGTAGTAATTTTATGGCTCATTCAGGTAGACAGGTTTATGACTGAACTGTAGCCACTCTTCAGGTTATTCTCTGTAATAGGGTAACTATTACGTCTAAGATTCACAAAATTAAAAGTATATAAATCAAACTAGAGGTAAGCTGAGGGATCTAAGCCTTATGTGCAAATGTAAATAAAGGAAGAGGAGAGCAGGAGGATCCAAATCTCTAAACTCATGCATTTGTGGGGGAAATAAGGAGGTCCATTGAAGAGATCTAGGTGATGGAAAGGCAGTTATTAAAAAGCACCATCTGGCTCCATGCTTATTGCTTAGTCAATTTTTTAAGCCTTTTTTGGTCTTTGTTAAAATTCTGGCCTGCAATATGAATGCCAACAAATAGGCTATTTGTGTGTCCCTGCAGATAGTTCAGAAATAACCATACACATATCTATGACTAAGTAATATATACCCATCCATGTCTCAGGATTATTACAAGATAGCTCTTACATATTAAATTAAGTGATATTTCTTCTCTCTCCTCTGTTTTGTGGATTATTACCTTTTCTTACGATATCAATTTCATCTTCTCCCTGTTTCCCTCATGATTCTGAGACTCCTCTTTGTTCTTCCTAGCAACCTCCAAGTATGGTTCTCCTGCCTAAGTTTATACTCTCTGCCTATGATCCAGTCAGCTCCTTTTATAAACAATTAACTCTGACATTTATTCATCCTGTGTAAAGGAATATTCCATATACTTTTCCTGACATTTTCAACACACACCTACTTTGTTTTATATTTGTTTATATGCTAATGGTGACATATATTTCCATCATTCCCATCCTCTTATAAGGTTTTAGGGTTAAATTCTATTCAGGAAAATATTTGGGATATATTTTACATGTATATTCAGTCTAAAATATCTATATTTTTCTTACATTTTCAATTATTAAGAAGGTATTTTATTAATCTTGAATGCTCAGGGTTAGAAGCTGAAGAATAATCACATGAACATGTAAAATAAACCTGCTCAGGTTTTGCTTAACTCTATCAAACAGTATTGGCTGTGACCTACAGCTGCCTTAATGTATTGGATAAACCTTTGAATAGGCTCCTTTTGATAGTCACACTGTGCCCACTTTATTTGATATGATGTAATCACAGCAACACAATTTCAAAGAACTCAAGTACTTTGACTGTAAATATTTCCATGACATAAAGAAAACCTCATAAATGGAAGTGTTCCTGTACATAATTTTTCTTTCTACTTTTGTAATTATGCAAATGCAAAATCATAGTTAACACATTAAGTTATTTGTAAAAGTTTTCTTTTGCCTGTTGTATGGTACCCTTGTAGCATCAAAGGGCAAAGTGATTAACACAGATAATTTCATTATACACTAATTTTATTTCAAATGTGTGCAGTGTAGGTTCATTCATTTAATCTGAAATTCTTTTGACTAATGCATGGAATATACAGAAGCAAACAAAATTCTGTTCTTTTTTATTGTTTATGGGGTATATTATAGATATAGGCCAGGGAATTGCCAAAGTCCTCACTTTAATTTTCACTATTCAGAAAATAGAAATAAAAACTGAAGGAAACTAAAGCACTAAATATTTATTAGGGTGCATGTAGAACATAATGACCTATAGAGCAGCAGGCCATGTGTTCTTTAGTTATATTCAGATTGCTGTTTTATTGTGCTATTGTTTTGTGGCTAATCTGTGAACAGACGGGGAGACATTTCATTGAAAGGTCAGCTCATTTAAAAAGTTGGAAACCTAGAATACATTTTAAAATACTCATATTCAAATTCTCACAATTGTATTAAAAATTTCAGGATATCTGGGAAGTGTTAGAAAAGGATTTTATCTGAGTATACTTGGCCTGCTAGGCTAGACTGGCAAATTTCATGTCCATGGAGAAAATCTGCCTCAAGTCAGCAAATTCTAATAAACATCTGCATCAAATCAGTATTTGATTGATATTTAGCACATTTTTAATCATGAATTTTCAGCAATTAGAACTAAATATAAAATTCCTGTAGTACCTCTCGTGCTCAAAAACCCCATTTTTCCTAGTTATATAAAGAAAATCTAGGAAAAAAATATTTTAGTCTTCATTTTTTTTCTATGACTTGCAATTACTCAATAGCAAAATCACATCAAAGTACCACTAAGTTATATGTAAACATTCTCTTTTGTTTATTTATGCTTCACTGATACCTAAAAAAAGACACATCACTAAGACAGGTAAATTCATTAGTTTTTCTTTTTAATTTCATATGTGGATTCTATATTTCCATTTTTTAATGTTCATTTTATTATCACTATATCTAAGCTGATCTAGGTAGCCTTTCAAAGAATGAATCCCTAAAAGCCAGGACGAGCAGTAGGGATAAATCCTGCTCCCCCTGCCAGTGGCCCCATAGTCTGCCATAGCCCATACAATAGTCTCCCACATTCTGAACACCTAGTTTGGTACTTTTCTGGTTCTTTCAATGTCAGGCCAGCGTTGTTAGGCTCCCATTAACTCAGTTAAGCTGTTTCAATAACCATTCCCATTACAGCCTTGATCTCTTGGCATGTATATTCAATTTTCCCGTTTCGCAACTTGACTTTGGCAGCTCAGCCTCGTAATGGACTGTAGATCTCTGCTTCTGCTCCATCAGTTGCTTAATGTTGTTTCTATGATGACATTTAAGATAGACATCAATCTGGCTACGAGACATTTATTTTCAATTCTCTGGTTCTTCAATGGGACTTCGGGAACTCCGCCTCATGACTGACTCTGGATCTCTGCATCTGCTCCACCAGTTGCTGAATGTAGGTTCTAAGATGACATTTAAGATAGACATCAATCTGGCTACAGACACAGACTGTTCAAACACCCACTCCCCTATTGCTCAGGGTCTTCACTGGGGTCATCATTGTGGATCTTGGAATTTCCCCTATTCCAGTTTTTTGCAGGTCCCCTAATACTCCCTAAATAAAAGTATTTTTTTCTCCTTGCTCTCCATCTCTGTCCATTCCCCTTCTTGAAAATCCTATCTTTCAAGTCTTATTCCCTCTACTTTTATAGCACCTCCTTTGTTTCTGCCTTTCATTCTCCCTATACCCATAGTTTCCCAATTTTCTCAGGAGATCTTCGCTCTTTCCCCTTCCCAGTGAGATCAATGTTTGTTTTTCTTAATATTCTCCTTGTTAACTTAGCTTCTCTGAGGTCGTGGGACACAGGTTCCCTAGTTTTGCTTTATAGCTGGTATTCTCACCTATGATTGGATATAAACCATAGTCAATATTCTGGGTCTGGTTTATGTCACACAGGATGATTTTTTTTCTAGTTTCACATATTTTCTTGCATATATGAAGATTCCATTGGTTTTTTTTTTCCCACTGAGTAGTAGTACTCCATTTTGTAAATGAAACATATTTCCTTTATTTATTCTTTGGTCGATGGGCATCTAGGTTGTTTCCATGTTCTGCCAATTACAGGAAATGCTGCTTTAAACAAAGTTGAACATATGTTTTGTAACTGACTGAGCAAGCATTGTATTTAACTGTAATAGTGTATTGATGAGTCTTAGAGTTGATTGATTTCTAATATCCTGAGACACTGCCATCCTGAACTCCAGAGTTTTGTCCCAGTTTTACTTCCATCTTCCTTCTGTGTCTGAGATGGAATATACACGAGACTCCTCCATGGTGCTCTTCTTACATTATCTGCATGAGGACAATAATGAAAAAAGCCAGACATTTGCCCATTTTATGACATTATCATCTACTATTCAGAAAGGATAATTTAACATTTGCATATACAGAGGACCATATCATATTTGGTGAGTAAGTAGAATACAATGATCTTTTAGAGTGGTCTATGAGTTATAGTCATTATCTTATACTTTTGCTCTTATAGTTACATTGTAACCTGAGAATATCAAGTAGCAGTCTCAGTCAGCAACGAGTTCATTCGGCAATGTGCAATGCTAGCACAGAATTTTAGAACACGCCCTTTCTAAATCAGGCATGCTAGTATAATATGATTGCAGTATATTAGAGAAGTGTGGAATCAGGAAGATTTCTTAGTATTCATGGACAGCAAGTCTAGAATGGCGAATTTCATTCCAAGGAGAAAACAAAACTCACATCTGTTAAATACTTGCACCAAACTAGTATTTGATTAATATATAAGCATATTTGTCCCAATTAATTTGCAAAAACTGGATATAAATGAATACTTTTTAATGCTTTATAAATAATACCTTTTAAAATTTCTCCTTTCTCCCTTCATCCCATTTCCCTCTCGTGCCCCCACTTACCCTCCACCTCCAGTCCTAAGAGATGGCACGGTACACTGCACTGAGGGAAGTCCAAGGACCTCCCCCCTCCACCCAGACTTAGGGAGATATGCATCCACATAGACTAGGATCTCAAGCAGCCAATACATGCAGTAGAGATAAATCCCAGTGCCATTATCATTGGCTTCTCAGTCTGCCCGAGTTGTCAGCCACATTCAAAGTTTGATTCCATGCTTGTTCAGTCCTAGTCCACCAAGCTTTATGGGGCCTTCATTACATCAGGCATCTAAGTGGGTGGACCAACCCCTCGTGGTCCTCACTTCCTTGCTCATCTTCGTTCTACTTCTGCTCTTCAAATGAACCTTG